TCCAATGGAAGATAAGAAGCATTACTTATCTCTGAAAAGAACACTGTCGCCAATCCCAAGTTACCTAGACTGCTTAAAGAATGCTCTATGTTAAGATTAGTCAAAAGGTGAACTTTTTTAAGCCACAATCAGAAATGCTTCATGTTTAAAGACCGAAGAACTTCATCCTGACCATCAAGCATTGGGGTGGGAGTATCGTGATTTGGGGCTGCTTTGCTGTCTCAGAATCTTGCCATCATTAAAGGAAACAAGAATTCAGTGCTGTATCAGAAAACTTTGGAGGAGAATCAAGTCATCTATTTGTCAGCTGAAGCTGAGCTGAAAGCAGGTTGTGTAGCATGACAATGATCTTAAACATAAAAGCAGATCTCCAACAGAATGGGTGAGAAAAAAAGGTAATATTTGGGACTGGACAAGTCCAAGTCCAGACAGAAACCCAACTGAAGTGTTATGGCAGGATCTGAAGCGAGGTCATGCAAGAAAACCCTCAAATAGATAAGATAGATAATACTTTATTAATCCCTTAGGGAAATTGATGTGTTACAGCAGTCCACCCAAGACAAGCAAAAACAGACATCAGAATAGTTATAAAACAAAAGACAACAAAATAAATAAAAATAAATAAAATAAATACATAGGTGTGTGCAAAATGTGATGATCATAGTCACTTGTAAAAGCAATAAAATATGTGCAAAATGTGCATAGGTTTATGCAGGTTGATTATCCAAAAAGTACAATGGAGCAAACATGCTGTCCATAGACAAGCAAATGAAGGGCTAACAGTCCTAGCCTAGGGCAGCGTTATACACCCTGACAGCCGCCGGGAGGAAAGACCTGCGGAAACATTCCTTTGAACACCGTAGCTGGAGCAGTCTGTTGCTTAAAGTGCTCCGCTGCCCAGTAACAGTCCCATGAAGCGGATGAGAGGTGTTGTTCATGATGGCTGTGAGCTTGGTCAGCATTCTCCTCTCAGCCACCACCTCCATGGGGTCAAAGCTCATCCCAAACAAAGAGCCAGCCTTCTTGATAAGTGTATTGAGCATATTTGCATCTCTTGTCATTATGCTGCTGCCCCAGCACACAACAGCATAGAAGATAGACGCTGCCACCACTGATTCATAAAAAATGTGTAGCAGTGTTCCACACACACCAAAGGACCTGAGCCTCCTAAGAAAATAGAGTCGGCTCTGACCTTTCTTGTACAGGGCG